TATAAATAGAGAGAGCTCAGTCTCTTGTATGATATATATAAAACAACAGACACTGACTATACATCACTGTCATTTCAGTCCTTCTCCTCTCTTTCATTTCAGTCTTTAACTTTTATTATTGATTTTATTGAAACTTATATTTATAGTGATATGTAATTAAGTTTAATTTTTTAACTCGATAAGTGAATTTAAAATTTATAATTATTTTTTAAATCAGACTTATGTTAAAATCAAGCAAGACTTAACAAAACCAGGCATATAGAGATCCAATGTTAAAATCAAGCAAGACTTAACCAAACCAGGCATATAGAGATCCAATGTTAAGCAGGACTAAGACGAATACAAAATTTCATATTTATAGTGCCGATTCGGCCCGACCCGGCCAGACGTTTTTGTTGACTCCTAAGCGGCACTTTATCTGATTTTTGATGCGTACGGCCTAATGATCGTGGATCGGGCCCACGTCTTTGCGCATCCAACGGTCAGCCGGATGAAACGCTCGCGAGGTACACATATATTAGAACTTTTTCGGATTAAATTACATGTAGTGCCCTATATTTTTACCGAAATTACACTTTATAATTTTTCCCCCAATTTAATCATGAAACTCATGCCTTAAATTTTAAGTCAAATTATAATATCAATTTTATACATCTTTTTTTTTTTTTATGATCGAGTGTCTGAATTAATTTATGCGCACATTGATTAATTTTGAGACCCACACAAAACATTTCTTCCATGTAGATGAGATAAATCTCGAACAGAACTCATGAATATAATCCCAAGGAGTTAATTGACAAAGGCCCTGTTTGGTAGAGTTGTGGGAAAGTGATTATAACTTATAACCTAACAGCTTATAACTTATAGCAGTGAACATAAGCTGATTTTTTACTTATAAATTAAGCTTCTTTTTCCCCACTCAAAGAATAAGTTGATTTTTGACTTACAAAAAGCTATAAGCTGTGTTGTTAAGCTGAACCAAACACATCAAAATAGCTTAAATTAAGCTAAAAGCTGAAATAAGCCGGAAATATGCCGAAAATAAGCCCTACCAAACAGGACCAAAGTTGGCTCACATGAGATATTTTCTAAAAACATATGTCCTTACATCACATCTATCCATTTAGGGCAATGTTAAAATGGTGTGTATTATATACAGGTTATGTCATTTATAAGTTTGATTATTACAAATGACATAACTCAATATTATGAGAGTCCTAATTAGGAAAAAAAGAAAAATAATTGAGTTATAATCAAATATCACATGGGTATAACTAAACAATTATTCAATCATAAGTAAAATAATGTTATAACTAATATTATAATATGTCATAACTAACAATACAAATCATTTCTCACCATTAAAAATAAAATATCAAAAGTGAAAGCTTTTAAAAAAATCATATTATAGAAAGAAAAAAAAAAACCCTCAGTAAATGTGATCACATTTTTTTTTAAATTTTTTTAAACAATACCCAATAATTTGGTAAATTTTAGTGGAAATAATAGCAAATAGGACAGTGAAAAAAAATTACGAAAACATAAAAAGGTATAATATTTTAATTATTAAAATGTATGAATTTTATCATTAATTTATAATTTTTTTCCCATGCCCCTACTGCTGTTATTTTCCTTAAATTTTACAAATTCATTAAGGGTTCGTTTGAGAGGTAGGTTAACTTTCTAATTTTTTGGCTTTTTAATTAGTCTGGAGCTAAAAAGTTTTATTTGAGATAAGTTTTTTTATTTTTGTGAGAAAAAAAATGAAATGATTATTGTTTGAATGTGACATTTGTCTTATTAACTCTTTAAGGTGTGTTTGATTGGGGGATTAGGAGGGGGACTATCCACTATTTGGATTGTAATCCAAATAGTGCACCTTATCCGTCGTTTGATTTTTTTTTAGTCCGGCGGACTCCATGTCCGGGGGGTGGGATTGTTTTGGGGGGACTAATCACTGTTTGGATTAGATGCGAAAATGACAATTTTGACCCTCTACTATTTAATTATGTATTATATTTAATAAAATTTAATAAAATTTAAATGTCTCAATTTAAAAATAAAATAATTTTATTTAACTTTTTATTAATGTTTTATTTATTTAATTTTTTTATTTAATTTTTTATAGATATTTTATTGATGTTTTATTTTAAAATTTTGTTTATGTTTTATTTAATTTCATTGTTTAAATTTAATAGATGTTTTAATAGATGTTTTATTTAAACAATTAAATGTTTAATTTCAACAATAAATAATTTCATTTATTTAAATTATGTTTTATTTAAACATTTAAATATTTGTACATCAACATGTTTATTAAATTATTTCAATATCTGTACATCAACATGTATATTTATTTAACATCTATTAAATTATGTTTTAATACGTCAACATTTGATTACATCTACATTTGTTAATTGTTAATTACATCAACATTTGTTAATTGTTTAAACATAATCTGTACATCAAAATAATTTCAATGTTAATTGTTTAAATAAAAATTTAAACATTTAACCATTAGTATGTTTAATTTCAACAATAAATTTTTATTTGTTTAAATAAAAATAATCTATACCAGTCAAATTTTTTTATCAATATTAGTATGTTTAAATATCTTTAAACAAAATTTAACCATTAGTATGTTTAATGTTTATTAAAAATAATTAAAATATTAAAGATATGTTTAATATTGCTATTACATAGTAAACAATTGAAAAATTGTAAAATAGTCTTTTGTTCATTTATCCTATCAAGTCCGTCCAACCAAACGTTGGATTCACTGAAAATAGTCCTATCCAGACATCTAATCCCATGAAAAAACAAACACAGGATACATATCCAATCCGACCAAATAGTCCGGGGGATTCACAGTCCCAGGATTCAAGTCCGATGGATTCTAATCCCCCCTTTTCCAGTCCGTCCAATCAAACACACCCTTAATCTATTTTGCCTTTTTGTGATTAAAAAGGCTTATTTTGGGAAGATGATAAAAAGTGGCTTTTTGGCTTTTAACCAAGCTTTTGGCTTTTTTAGACAAATGATTTGAGAAGTTGGTAAAAAGTGACTTTTGACTTTTTTTATTAATATTTGTTTATGATGTCAAATCATAATAAAATGACTAAACTATCCCAATTTATTTAAAATATTTAGAACTTCACCTATGTAACACATTTTGACCTATGAGGGGTAAAATTATAATTTTACCGTTGGCTAAAAACCAACTTCCCAAATGAAAAAAAAAGCCAAAAAAGCCAACTTTTGACTTTTGCTACTAACCAAAAAAAGTGGCTAAAAACTATGTTGCCAAAATAGTATTTTGAGATATTTGATTATGACTTTTTGAGATATTTGATTATGTTGCCAAAATAGTCAAAAAATCAAACTTTTGACATGCCAAACGAAGTCTAAATCGTCTCGTGGTTATAAAATAATAAAACTAATCAAATTATAAAACAAATTAAGGAAAATTCTATTATATATGTTTTATACCATATGCATCTTTAGTTATGTTATTTTATTCTTTAGTTATGTCCAGTTCTCTTCTTTAATTATAATATTATTTTGAGATATTTGATTATGACTTTTTAGTATTTGATTGTTATTATTATTATTTTTGATAGTTATGATTCAGAAAGTATAGAGTTATGCCATTTTTCTTCTTTAGTTATAAGATACATATATTATACACCCTTTAAGGGGTTATGCACCTTATAACTAAGAAGAAAACGGCATAATTTCATACTTTCTGAATTATAATTAAAAAAAATTATAACCAAATATTACATGAGACATAACTAAATATATCAAAATAATATTCAGCTTGTTTGGTTTCGTTTTTTTTAAAAACAGTTTTCAGAAAATTCTACTTTCTTATTTTCCGTATTTTTTTGTTTTTAATGAATTTTTTTAATATTTTAAACAATTTTTTGTAATTGTTAGATATACCTAACATAAATATACCTAAAAAGTAAAAAATTTGTAAAAAAACCTTTTAAAAATTCACTAAATACCAAAAATATAAAAAAAAATGAGAATTCAGTACATTTTTTATATTTTTATGTATTTATTAATTTTTTAAAATATTTTTTTATAAAATTTTTACTTTTTAGATATATCTAAGTAAGGTGCATCTTAAAAACTAAAAAAAAATGTTTAAAATTTCAAAAATATTCACTAAAAACGAAAAAGCACGAAAAATAAAAAATTCAATTTTTAAGAAACTTAATCCAAAAAATTCAAACCAAACACACAATTATAACTAAAGAAAAAAATTGGCAGAATTCCATAACTAAGGGTGCATAGCCTAAGGCTTCTTTTTGTAGCTAAAAAATAGCCAAAAAACCAAACTTCTTGGCATGCCAAACGAAGGCTAAATTATCTCGTGGTTATAAAATAATAAAACCTATCAAATTATAAAAAAAATTAAGGAAAATTCTATTATATATGTTTTATACCATATGCATCTTTAGTTATGTCATTTTATTCTTTAGTTATGTCCAATTTTCTTCTTTAATTATAATATTATTTTGAGATATTTGATTATGACTTTTTAGTATTTGATTGCTATTATTATTATTATTTTTTATAGTTATGATTCAAAACTTTGAGAGGTTATGCACCTTATAATTAAGAAGAAAACGACATAATTTCATATTTTTTAAGTTATAACTAAAAAAAATTATAACCAAACACTACACGAGACATAACTAAATATATCAAAATAATATTATACCTAAAGAAAAAAATTGGCAGAATTCCATAACTAAGGATGGCCTACGGCTTTGTTTGGGACGTTGAGTATTTAATTTTTTTTGTTATTTTAACAAAACTACAAAAAAAATTGTGTTTAAAAAATTAATTAATTTTTTATAATTAATTTAATAATTATTAGAAAAAAAAAGTAATTATAAATTAAATACAACATTTTATTTTAACCTCCCAAACGTTCACTATTCATTTCAATTTGAAACCGCCTCCACTTCCAACTCAAAAAAGAGAAATTTTTTTTTTCCCGTTTGTGCTTCTCTCTCTCTCATCGCTGCGCAATTTCTCTATTTGATTCGATTTCCAATTTCTCTATTGAAATCAATTTGCGATTTGTTTGGACTTTTGGATCTTTGAATTTAACTAGTGCAATGGATGAGAGTGGAAGGATTGATCTTGGTCCCAGAGGTCTCAATCTCGTCGATGTCTCTTCCGAGAACGACACTCTCATCGATCTTCAATCTTCGGGTAATTTTCTTCAAATCACTTTTTTTTCAAGATTGCTTTGTCAATTTCAAGTTGTTAGTTTTGTTTCTGTTACTAAAAGCCTTACTATCAATTTCTATTTCTATTTTGAAGTTAATTTTCAGAATATTTTTGTTTTGTCATTAGGGTTCTCAATCAATCGGCTCCATCATTCGTTTTGTTATATTTTTACTTTTCTCACTTGAATTTAGTAGGTTGTCACTGTTTGTGTTGAATTTCAGAAATCTATGAGAAAATATGGGGGAAAAAAAGAAAGAAAAAAGAAACCAATTTGGGAACTTATTTTTCTTGGATACTGCAACTTGATGTCTTTGTGGATTGCATATGAGATGATGAAGACAATTTGTTGACAATTCCTAATAATATGATTCTCAGCTCGGGTATCTTTAACCTAACAAGTTTTGGATGCTTAATAAATAATAGCCACCTTAGAAATGCTAGAGATCCCTAAAACATGACCCATAAATTCACCCCTAATAATGTGGCAAGGTGTTGGTTTTTATATGAATAAAAAACTGACATGGAGTAGTCCAATGGATAAATTTTGGGTCATATTTGAGTATCATCACTTGGAAAATTTACATTACATCTCAGATATTGTGAAATACTTAAAATGATGTTATTATTCTCTTCACCTTCTTTTCTCTTTCTCCTTCCCTCATTTCTCGTACCCATATCAGTAGCCATGGATACTTACACTATGGCTGCCATGGCTGCTTCTAAGGGTAGAAGGAAATAGAAAAAAGAAAGGTCTTTTTAAGTATATGCCACAATGTCTGAGATGTCATGTTCAAGTCATATGTCAATTTTCTATCCATTCACGTAACGGAGGATCCTTAAATGAAGGTTCACGTTGATACAAATTGATAGTTTAAAAGAAGGAAATAGAAAAAAGAAAGGTCATTTTAAGTATATGCCACAATGTCTAAGATGTCATGTTCAAGTCATGTGTCAATTTTCTATCCATTTACGTAACGGAGGATCCTTAAATGAAGGTTCACGTTGATACAAATTGATAGTTTAAGGTGGCAAAGTGTAGTTTTTTTTAGTTGAGGGGGTAAAGTGTAATTTTCTCTATTTTTATTCTCTTTACTGTGTTGTGCGGAGCAAGAATGGATCAGGTGTAGAAGCTGAACCCAGTTTCCTGAGAATATCTCACAAATTGTTATGGCACTTCCACATTCCAGTTTCTTAAATGGCAAACTCTTGTTGCCGGTTATCCTTTGTTGTGAACTCCTTATCTTTGGCCAATGTGGAACGGGCTCTTCTGTAATAACTTTGGCAGAGCATTCTTAGCCATGGTTCTTCATCAAGTTCTTACTTCATTTGATGTTGGATGAGCTGTGGCAACTCTACTGCATAATGAAGTATGTTGAAGATGTCAATAGTGTTGTATTAACCCCTTAGCTCCTTGATTAGTTTTAATGTCAGCTCCGGCACTTTGAACACACATTTGAACTCCAATGTCGTCTTTCTGCCATCCACCATGTGGATTCATCTTGGATGAGTCAGGATGTCGATAAAAACAACAATGTGGCCTTGGTAGTAAATTTAAAACCAGGGCCTTTTTGGTGCAAAAAGTTAATAATCGTAAAGCATAAGATTAAAGCATTCCTAGCTCCCTACTCCAGCTTCTCAATAACCAATTTTTTATATATATTTTTTTATAGCTTATTTAAGCATTTTTCCCTTGTAAGCTGCACCAAACACTCTAGGATAGATTTTCAAAATAAAATATCAATAAACAGTCCCAATAAGCTGAACCAAATGGGGCCATAATTTGGCATAGCCTGCAGTGGCCACAATAGATTGCTAGCACTTTACAATTCTAGGTTCAGACATTCTCTTTGTTTGGAAAAGCCAAGTAAATGGTGTATCTTTTCATCAGTGGCCCTCTTTAATTGTGTAAAGTTACTTAATGGACAGGGGGAGGTTCTGTAACTCATTCCTTAAAAAACAATCCCTAAAGTTTTGTGTTAAATTAAATGTAGTTTATTTGTGTGATAAATTTTTTTTCCCTTTTTAGTTATTCTTATAATTATAATTGTTATAGTGTATTCCAAGTTCGAGTCATTTCAATTTTTCTTCAGAAAATCAGAATAACAACGTAAGTCCTGGATTGCTGGAGGCTGTCAATGTTGAAAAAACAGTGGATACAACTGACGTCAGTGGGGATATGGAACTGTTGCCTCAATCTTATGAGCCATTGGAACCAGAAAGGATGGGGAAAATTGGCAAGTGTAATCTGCGGAAAAGTTTAGCTTGGGATACTGCCTTCTTTACAAGTGCAGGTATGCTTCAAATTTGAAACACTATTATTTTCTTGTACAACATTATTTTCTTGTATTCCGTGCAAACTAAGATCATAGTTACAAACACTTTTTTGACAAACCAGGTGTTTTAGACCATGATGAGTTGTCTAGCATGATAAAGGGAGTTGGCAAGGGTGGAAAATATTTTTTACCTGGAATTGAAGAGGATTTACACAGATCTACTGATTCAATCTCTACATTAGAAAGTGAGAGTCTGACCCTGGAAAGTCTGGAAGGTGATTTGTTTGAAGACGTCAGAGCTTCAATTCAGAAATCCAGTAAAGCATCTAATGCGAGAAGTTCTAGCAAAGTGACATCGGGAGGGAAAGAAACCAAAGTTTCCTGTTGTAAGTATATATTAGCAGTTAATGGTTATAGTTCTCTTTCTGTTTTGTCCGTTGGTAACTGCCTCCGTGTCTGCCTATACGTCACCACTGCACCGCCTCAATGTGCAATGGAGGAGAATAATTTTAACCCCATCGTGCTATGAAATTGCCACTTTCTGTAGCATTACCACTTCCCTTGTGCTACATGTGCCTCTGCTACCACCCTGCCATCATTAATAATGCCAGACCACTGCCACCTCATCCTTTTCTCTAGAACCTCTTCCATTGCCATCACAGCTTCAAATTTACATCTGTTGGCTAACCCCTCTTTATATGCATTTTTAGCATCAGTCACCAACCGTTCATTTATTTTGAGAGAATTCGATATGGTTATACAACAACAGAGTTTTAGTCTGGTAAATTAAACCAGTGTGTTCACATACAAAATCATTTAGTTTACATTGTTGATACTCATTCTTTTTAGTTAGACATGTTCTTAATGCATATTGGGGGCCAACTAGGTGATCAGGGTGAAGCATGCATGGATAATCATAGCTGGTGATTTGTTTGCTTGGAATTGGGCCAGTATCTATGTAATTATTACCAAGTGCAACTGCATATATTTAATGATAATTAATTTTCAGTGAGATGTTGCCAAATATATATGTATATTGCAGTGACAAAAAACAGTCACATTATCTTTCTTTGAAATTTGACGGAGGTTATCCGTTAGCTTTTATGTTTGTGTGGTTTCTGAGGCAGTCCAAGATTAGCTGAATGGTTCTATTTTCCATTTAAAACATAAAATGGTTTCCAAATTACAAATAATCACTACCTGTGCATATTCTTGGCAATTATTTTTAATATAATGGTACATTTGCTTTGCAGCTTTAAAGGTGGACCTTGCTTCCAAGAATATGGTGAGTTCAGTGAACAGAGAATGCATGTTAGATATGATTGATTTTGTAAATTTTACCAGTCTGGATTCATACTTCCAAAATTTTCAGTTGAAGTCGAAACCTCCTTCCAAGAAACAAACCATTGGCATACATGGACCAGGGAAATTGATAAAGCAGAGTTCTGGTAGTTCACAAGGGACACAGGCATGTTCTTATCTTGTACACAAACTGTATGTCTACTCTTGCATGCTATATATTATGCAAATAGTTAGCTGTGTGAATTATTTCCGCATTCACTGGAAATGACACTATTCAATTCTTCGTGATAATAGTCACACTGTTTTCCATGGATTATTTGTCAGATCATCAGAAAGAAAAAGATCCATAGATTAGTTTACAAATTATTGATCTCATTTTTATCCTTGCTGGAATTCTTGCATTAAAGAAATCTGTTGGCTTTCTACATTGGTAACAGATATACAGGTTTCTTTTTTGAATGAGAAGCATTGTGTAGAAAACGTTTGCCAAGAACACCGACATAAATAAAAGGGGAGACCGAACATGAAACAAGGAAATAAAGAAAGAAAAATATCAAAAAGAAAGCTAGCAAGAAGAAAGAAAAAACAACAAAGAAGCTTAATGTTTAACAGTTTAATCATATGAGCAAATTCTTGTCTTTGTGTAGTTTAACTGACTCCACTCATGTTGTTTAATACAGCCCATGACTCGAAATGGTGGCTTGACTTCATCCCTTCCAAAGGCACCAAAGGTAATTGCCAGGCCTAATACCATCCCATCAGTACCACTGAAAAGGGCTTCCTTGGGTGCCAAGCAAGTCGAAATGGAAAATGATAAAGCAAAAAATGCCTCAGGTAAGAACTCCAGTTAATTAAAGCTCTTTTTTTTTTTTTTCTTTTTTTTTTTAAAGTTACCAGCAGTAGAATTCTTTCACTCTAGTTCTAAAATCTTTTACTTTTTGAGTAATTATGACAGTTCCACGTAAAGCGACTCCAGTGTCAAAGATACACGGTTTGGGTGGTTCTAGCAGGACTGAGCCTAAGCCTGCACTATCTTCAAAACCCTCTTCAGCAACCAAGAAGCCACCAAGATCTGCTTCCTCGTGTGATAGTTCTCGCAGTGCTTCATCTTCCAATGTTGGCATATCTCCTGTGAAATCTAATAGGAGGACTGCTTCCAGAACTGTTAATCCAACTTCTTCCAGTTCAATCCTCAAAGTTCCATCAAAGGTTGTTTTGAAGAAAAAAGGACAACCTGGTCGCTCGGCTCATTTAATGTCGTCCAAGCCCTCTTCTAATTCATCCCCTGCTAGTTCTATTAGCGAATGGTCCTCAAAATCATCTTCATCAACTTATACTGTCAATCAGAGATCTACTACTTCAATGGCTAGCATTGACACTAGCTCTCCACGCAGATCCGTAGATAGTGATATCCTTCCTGCTTTGGATCATCATAAGCAATCTAATGATCAAATCTCAGACATACATGAAAATAAGGTAAAGCGACTAGTTAGTGAAAATCTGCAGATCAGCACACTTCCTCGACCAGTTAAAGTACTACCCTCAGGTCTGCGAATGCCATCACCAAAGATTGGTTTTTTCGATGGGGTCAGTTCTACATTTGATATTACAAGTGCTTCTTATTTTGAAGTTTCTTATTGGGAATTGGTTTTGCCAAAGGAGTTTATTGATCTTTGTCAGTGGAGAACTATGGCAAAACCAACTCTCGTTCTATTGCTTTATTTAGAATTTAAATCTGCTACAAAAGTATATATATGTGGAATTTCTATATCATGCAGGTGAAACCTGTGGTTCGTACCCCTACTGGAAGTATGCAATCTTATTCTGGTGTATCAGTGGGTCCCAAAATTGGAGCTGGAATCAATAGGCCAAGTGGAGGCTCGAGCAAAACAAAGCTTGCGAAGCTTCAACCTGCAAGAACAGTGTCAACAGCTGCAAACATGAAACTTGATGGCCAGAAACCCGTTTCACCCCTTCCATCTCAAAAACCATCAAATGCTTCCACAAAGGTCTCTAGCGTTTCTGGAGGCTTAAAGAAATGTCTTAGCATATCACCTCAAGCCCATAATGAGACAGACAATGTTCCAGATTCTGGTCTGGATGCTGAAAAGGCTGGAAGTCTAGGCATGTTGGATAGAGAAATGAACATAGAAAAACAGGGTAATTTTAACAAAAAGGATATCGAGATTACTCCTATTGACAGGGATACCCACTGTAATGCTGAAAATATAAAGCCATCTGAAGAACTGGGTGAAGATGCAATTTCTAGTCTAAAGCATCTCAAGACCAAGTTGAGGGTTGTTTGTAAAAGCAATGAAAAGGAGAATGCCCATTTTGAAGACCAAGTTGATGGTTTGACCAAGAACGAGGTCATTGGCAATTCTATTACTCAAATTGATTTTAGTCACTCAGATTTTCATGCTCCAGAGTTGTCATGCTCCAAAGAGTTCTTTGTTCTCAGTCAAAAGGAAGGATCACCAAGTGATATGTCGAGGCCCACTTCAATCTCTCCTTGTCTGGTGACATCTGAAATTACAGCTAGCACAAGGACTCCTTTCGCTGTTAAGAATTCTCTCTGTAATAGTGAGGGGGATTTTTCAACTGGATTGAGCATTGGAGCGGTGGAGAAGATATCATCACTTTCTTCTTTAAAGAGTGCTCAGACAGAGAATAGTTAAAACAGTTATCATGCTGCACATTTACTTGAAGGTACATCCATTTGGACTGCCAATACATACATATTAACTTGAATTAGAAATGGTATAGATCAGTTTTATATTTTTAGATTTTTTATGCAATAATATTTGAAACGTTGTCCATTTGTTTATGTTTTTTCAATCTTCTTTGCATGAGATATTCCAATTTGATTTTTCCCAGTTTGGTGAAGTTGTGTTCATTTGGAGAGAAAGATTAGGGAAGAGAAGAGACTAAGAAAAGAGAGATGGGAGAAAATGAATTAGTAAATATTCCCTTGTTTTAGTTGAGAACAAAGTAGATAAGAGTTGAGGGGGAAATATATTTATTTTGTTGTTCCTTGAGTATTGTTTGTACCTAAATTAAATTGAATTCCCTCCAAATTTGTGTTCAATGCCATGGGGGAATAATATTTAATAACTTTCTCAATTATTTTTTTTCTCTTTTCTTTTCTCTCCTACCAAACAAAGCATAACATTGTTGAGTATTGTTGTTGTAGGAAATTTCTGCCTAAGATGGAACTGTCTGGAGAAAAGATTCCTTGATCGATAAAAATGAAATTTGCCTGTGTTTAATTCTAGTAACTTGAAGAACCAATTTACGCTGTGAATGCACTACTGTCCAAAGAAAAAGAGAGATTTGTGCTGGGAATACAAGTCATGACCATGAGTTTGTAATAAATATCCATCTTAATGGTATTTTATGTGATTTTCCTATACTTTTTTGCGACAAGGCACACGTTGAAAATCAGTGTAGAAAGATTTTGCTGCTGCATTTTTTGCTAGGTATCTCTGTCCATATTTTCACTTCTTTCAACTCCCAAAATGATTCACTTTTTGCCTGTTTGTCATCAGGGAAAGCCATATCATATGCTATCTCATTATTACAGAAGCTGGAACAAAGTGTGATGGCTACAAAAGATTTATTGTGAAAATATTGTTTTATAATCTTTAATCAGGCTGGCTAAGTTAGAGTATCTCCAACCTAAGCATTTACAGCATTTTTAGGCAGAGATGCAACTCAAGCGGATTTGGTCGGGCTGAAAATCTGTTTAAGCCTAATCCAAGCTGTGTCTAAAACTTTTCAAGCCTGCCCAAGCCCTACTAAGCAAAATAAATTGAACTCAGGCTTTGCCCGAATTGTCCACAAATTTTATTTATTTATTTTGTAGCTAGTTGATTAATTTATTAAAATTAAATCCTATTAGCATTTTTTAAAGATAAAAATCATTTATAAAATCAAACAATGAATAAAACAAAGAATATACATGGTGAAAGAGAGACAAATAGGAGATAGATGAGAATCGAGAGACTGATGCGTGGTTGTGGTGGTCTTTGCCATTTTTAAAGTGAAAAGAAAAGAGTAAGGTTAAGGATTATGAAAAAAATATTATGAAAATAATCATGAAAAATTTTTTACCGTTAGATTACACATATTAAAAACACCACACTAATCAAAGGAGGAGAAATGTCACGACCGAAACTCGGTACCCAAAGGCTCAGCGTCGTAACAAGATAAAAATAAAATAATTCGGATAATTCTGTAGTTACAGCGCAAGCGGATAAGTTAAATAAATTAAAATAAATAACTGGATGCCAACTGTTTATTTAAAAGGAAATAAAACATAGTCATTTGAGTTTCATTGTATTACAAGAGTTTAATAATAAAAGATAGAAATCTTAAAAAACAAAATAACATAGCAATTCATTTTTCATCTTAATCCCGCTAAACCTCGTCATCTGAAAGGGGTAACAGTTATAAACACATAGCAGAGTGAGAAATATTATACTATGAGGGGCACAAAATGGTCATGGATATTTATTTAAGCTAAAACATTATAAATTGAGTTGAGTTGAATACACAAATTAATTAAGTGTCAGAAACTGAAATAATCACTATAACTAAGTGACAAGCACTACACTGGTCAATGGATCCATGACAAATACTGGACCATAAAGTGGTCAAATATTAGCCAATGGTTATTTAAGTCCCCCAAGGCATGGGACTCCCGTTGTGGTACTCACAAAACATATTTTCATATAAGATCATAGCCAAATATTCTTTAAAAGTAAAACAAACATATCTATGGGTTTCACTTTTAAGCAAATAGGGTTCAGAAATAAAACCACGTAGATGAAACATAACTGTTATTAATATATTAATAAAACATAAATTATATTAAATAGATTTTGGTAAGTCAAAACATAAGTAAAATACTTTTTGATAACTTAAGGTATAATATAACTCACCTTAAATTACTTCATTTATTCTTCATTTCCACTCAAGCTTCTCACCCGAGCGTCCTCTTTCCTACTCTCTATTTATTTTTTCCGTTGCCAACCTTCTCTATTTATAGGAAAGACACTCTTGGATAACAAGCTACGGAGTCCGTAAATTGACGCGTGTAGTCTCCGGTCCACCCTTATCTTGTTATTTATGAACTTGTTTGATTTTATCTTTTTATTTCTTTGACCATTGACTTATTGTAACCACTTTACCACTTTAAACATTATTATCTTCTTTGGTAATCCACAATGATTCTTAAAATTACGTATAATAATAAGTTAGGTTCACGTCTAAAAATCTCACTACCCAACTATAAATCACCACTTACCACTTATTAAAATATTTAATGTGTAGTATTTCACAACTTATTTCTTTAACTATCAAATTCCCAATCTCCTAAATTATGCCTTTATTTATTATTATCATTGTCACTACATGTATATATATATATACTTATTATTATTATTATTATTATTATTATTATTATTATTTTTAATTTCTGAGTTCTATTTATTGAAATGTTAAGTTTAAAACATTCGGGTGTCACATTTCTCCTCTCCTTAAAAGAAGTTTGTCCCCAAACTTGACGTACCTTGGTTTTCGAAGAGGTGTGGGTATTTGGCTCGCATTTGGCTTTCAGTTTCCCACGTTGCTTCTTCGACACGATGATTTCTCCATAAGACCTTTACGAGGGGTATAGTCTTATTTCGAAGGATCTGATCACGCTAGCAGTTCTGTCCAAATCTAACCCAAATTTAATTTGGGCTTTTAAATTTTTTGGAGGTCTACACCAAATTCAAATATGTGTTCCCAAGACCTAAATTTTTTTGAGTTAGGCTAAGGTTGAGCCAAGTTGCACTCTTAATTTAGGCAAAATGATTAGACAAAACATGAAATATATTTTTTTATGTAGTTTTGTTGGACAAAATAACCTATTATTATTGAAGTTAGCTCTAAATATTATTATTATTATTATTATTATTATTATTTTGGTTATTAAGTTATTTCAGTGTTATTTTGGTCAATAATAATAATAGATAGAAAATACTTGTATGCAAATTAAAATTTACAATTGTTTACTGGAAATTGGGAAATGTAGCTTCAAAATACATAACTTCAAAATACGATTCCAAAATATAAAATTGAAAATATTTTGTTACAAATAGGAGAGTGAAAGAAAGGTGTTTCTCAATTGTTTCAATCTGCCCTCTTCTTGACTAAGGATACTCTTTTATATCTAGAGTAGAAGACTGTGATGTTTGTGACTTGGGAATCTGGCCAAAAGTAGCACATGGAGGCACATGGGTGCTGTCTGCTGCTTTCGGTGATTGACTGAAAGTTGTCTTTGCTTTTAGCTGTTCTAGATTTGTCTTTATGTGAATAGTGAATAGTGACTTTTTTCCACTGTTCATTGCTTTTGGCGGAGAGGCATGAATGCATATAGTAGTTTTTCTCAAAGTAAGAGTAGTGATTGAAGCTGACATATATATGTGAAATCCAATGATTGTTTTAGGCATATGGGTCCTGAGTATCTTGAAATTGTAGACCATATGGATCATGATTGGTAGATGCTTCGGATGAGGCTGATCCATCTAAAGCTTCATCTTCATCTTGTGACTTGGCTTGGGCCAATTGTAACTTTGCAATTTGAATGAGCTCTTCATTGTTGGTTTTGGACTTGGGCTTTGACTTAGATGACTTGGATTTAGAAGGCCTAGTGCTGGTTGATGGAATTCTAAGTCTGACTGTTGTGAGAGGAAGTGGGCTTCCTTGGATGATTAAAGCAGTTGGGTGCTGCCAGGAGTACTTGACCATTGCTGGGGTAGGAGCATGGATATTGACTGGAAATTCTTACTAGACTTGTTCAATAATGCGATGGGCTTTGAATGCATCCCACCATTTAACAAAATGATGTCGGCTGACTATGTTTTTAGAAAGATTGTATTGCCATTTAAATATCCAAGGGACTTTATATTTGGACATAAAATGGAGCAATATAGCGAATTGACTTTTATGTTGACTCAATTTAAAAACTGAAGAGAAATAAGTAACTTGAGTCATTAGTTCAGACGGGATAATTTCTGAGATAGCACCATGCTGAGACCACCATCACAAAAACCAGGAAGGGAACTCTGACTTGAACTTATGATCAAAAGAGAAAAACCAAGAGTGACAAAATGATTTATTTTGGTGTAGGAGGATTTTGAACCATGCATCAATGTAATTATAATAACTATATTGTATCTTATGGTTGGGGAGATCTCTAAGTAGGAAAGAGAAACCCCATTTATCAAAGGATACAATGTTATGTATGTAGAGGGAATGGTAAATGATTTTACTGGCATTGACTCTATCATAAATAGGTTTAATGACCATGGACTTGTGATGAAAGCGGATATTAGGGCTGTTCGCTCGGTTTTGGCCGGGTGCGGGTCAAAACCGACCCGACCCGCACTTATGCGGTTGGGGAAAAATGGACCCGCAACCGCCCGCGATGCGGTTCGTGGTTTGTGCGGGCTTTTTTTTTTTTTTTTTTTTTTTTTTTTTTTTTTTTTAACTTAAGCAAATTTGACATTTTTTGTTATTTTCTAAACACTTTTTTTTTTAAAAAAAAAGAGTTATAAATTAAATTACAAGATATACAATTCATGATCATAATAAATAGTCCACATGTTAGATAAGATGATATGGAACCATGCTTGAGGATAGTAATTAATCTTCCTCCTTAGCTTGCAAAAACAAACCCTTAAAAGTCAAACTAATAACACTAATTTAAATATGCAAAAACAAACCTTTAAAAGTCAAACTAGTAACACTAATTTTAATAGTGGATTAATCTTCACTGTTTAGCTTTTAATATGCAATAATGTGATAATAGAATGACAATTCAAAATATCATATTTAACTGTGTCTACTAGACTAATAGAATATAATGATTTTTTTTTAAAAGTCAAACTAATAACACTAATTTAAATATGCAAAAACAAACCTTTAAAAGTCAAACTAGTAACACTAATTTAAATATCATTAGATCATGATAATGTATATAAGTGCCCATATAATAAATTTTACTTTCATCCAAAATGTAAAAATAAAAATAATAACTAGTTATCTCCATCCATCCAAAATGCAAAAAATAATAATAATAACTAGTTATTTTTTCTTAAAAAAAAAGAAAAAGAAAAAAGAAAAGAAAGATGCGGGTTGCGAGCGGGTCAGGTTCGACCCGAACCCGATCTTTTTCCAATTTCTTGACCCGCACCCGCCCGCCTACCTACATCGAAACCGCCCAAAGCACTGCGGGTAGGGTAGGGTCGGGCGGTTTGTGCGGGTGGGTGGGTTTGTTGCCCAGCCCTAGCAGATATCTTTATAAAAGGTGATTGACTTGTCGAGATGAAACGGAATATAATGCCATCCAGAAAGGAAGTAACTGTTGACTAAGTCAATAACATTGTGGATATTTTTGTGGATTGGTTCTTTATAAATAAATAAATAAAA